AACCAGCTAGGCCAGCTATCTCAAGGTGCTGTCATGAATTTGTTTTTGCGTATCTGTTGACCGACTTAATAGACCATTTTCCGTACACTGCGAGAATCACGCGTTATGCGTGAAATCGAACGTAAAAACAGGACAAACAAAGGTCATAGCGTCGTAGTCGCGTCAAACATCGCGTGGGATTCGACAAACGCGAAAGTATTTCGGGGACATTTCCATGCTTAATAATGTGCTGTCCACATTTGATGATAGGCAATTTCGATTAAGTGAGGGTATTCGGAAGCAATATTCCTCTGTCGAAGATCGGCCGGTCAATGTAAGCTGCGAAATAAAGAAATTCTAGTTCAAAATCAAATCGTTCGATTTTTGCAGCAGACGTTCGACGCGCGTCTTTCATGCATCTCGCGAGATCTCGCAATTGTTCGGAAAATCACCTATTAGCTGATTATTAGCTGAATTGCTGTGTTATGTCTGTCATCGTTTAGGCCTATTTGAAGTTTTGGACGGAACTTGGCTCAGTGATTTGGAACTAATTACCAGATAACCGTCGCCATTCTGACAGTTTATATTCATAGTTATTAATGTAGTGAACGATTAATCAAAAGATATGACGTATTCAGTACTTAGTGTGATTGGCTTTATGATTGAAGGTTACGCCTTAGAGTCTTTTTACTGCTTTGTAATTGGTTAGAATTTTGAAAATGAATAAAGAGAGTTTGAGTTGGTCTTGGGGAGCACAGCACGATAGACGCAGTCTTGGAGAGTCGAGAGTCCAGTCCAGGGGCGAGCCTTGAGGCAGTCCAGTCTTGGGCGAGTCTTGGTTCAGCCTTGTGGGAGTCTTGGGGACTTTTCCCCAGGGCGCTGTGTCTTATAGAGTGCTCCAAAAGATCGACTAAGACGAGAGTTGAAACGTATTTCGTTGTGTGTGCCTTATTTGACTGTAAAGTTAAAGTGACTTTCCCGATCCCGTACCTCAAGGGGACGCGATAGAGAGACGAGACGAGATTTCCCCCTGACAAGTGTGGAGAACCCCGAGAGAAAGAATTTCCCCCTGATAGTGCTTCCTCTTCCTCTGTGTGTTTTATTGAATACAATGTGGTTATGCAGAAGAAATTAGTTCCTATTCGAGGATCAACTACAACAAGAGAACCAAATATGATTTCCTGTGTGATATAATGGCTAATGCCACATGGAATACCAATATAAATAGTTACATGTGAAAATGGTTACTATTTCATGAATATTGTTTTTGGTTTGGTGCAAAAGGACTTATGGCTTATAATTTTTCCTTCCACCAAGATCGTAAAGTAAAGTAATGATTTGCGACCAGCCTGTGGAACCAGGGCACGTGAAGGTTGAGATGGCTCCATTTAGTCGATGATAAGTTGATACCAGTGCCCCTTGACAATAACACAATTGGTAGTAGTACTGTGATACCTTATGGTGAGTGTGACATATACATATAAATTGGCCAATATCGGACTAAAACTATTACAGTAGTAACAGTAGAGAACATGCCTCTGTGGTGTAACTGGTACGATGTGTGTAAATGGTGTATGTGAGCAGTGTCCTTGATTTCAATGATAAAGTTACTTTGGGGTTTTGGCAGAAAATTGGTGCATGTTGCCCATGGCAAGCTAATACTTGAGGATGACACTATATTGGTACGGATTGTGACAATATGTAATGATTGGTAGAGTGGAGGCGCTATCCGAGACCGACACAAATGATCGAGACAGAGAATGAGCATTTAATATATAATATGCTATGAGAGCTTCAATGAAAGATCGTGGCCCTTGAAGAAACTAAGACAAAGATGTAAAGTTTGAATGGGACAAAGAATGCAAAAACGCTTGAAGATACATTTAATAGTGGTGATAATCCCGGTGTGACCAGGAACAGAAAGTGCGTAGGTTTATACTACAAACCGTTGCATTCGGTGAAGCTATATGTGCAGGTCCAGGAGAGCGAGGAGCGTTATAACAGACCGAAGAAAGACCCTGGGCAAACTGGAACAAATTTGCAGTGTGACCCATAACGAACTATGTGTTTCATTCTATTTGATATTTAGGCGATTTCTTTGTTCAGGAAATAGAACTAGTTCGATCCTCTGTGTGATAGTTTATTTATACAATTCTGGCACAGTCTAACACTAATCCTTGAAACACTAGTATACTTATATACTTGGGTTTAACTAACATCGCCATCGAACCTTTCAACTATACAATCGGTGAATACCAAGAAACAAAACAGTGTGATCACATTCTTTGGACATTCCTTCCATCCACCGACAAGATCAAATGCAATAACCAGAATAATTTAAATACGTGAATGTGATAATGTTATATATTTAATGTGTTTAAAATATCGTTCTTGGGGTAGGCTCATTGCATTCTCAGCTTTTCCAGAATGTGTTGGCCCTTCTATTATCATATCAAACGGTAATGCAACATAGATACCCAACATAATTGGAATCATTAATTTCAACTATGACTCGGCCATGTGCTTCTAGAGTCCGACGAATTATCAATGATTTTTTTATCGTACAAAGTTGTTTGCATTACCACTCTTAGTCTTTTTCTAAGATAGTGTGACTAAGCAAAAGTAGGAAATTCAATATAAATAGCAGGATTTTTCCGTTAACAATTTCGTCTTTCTCTCCCATAATATCTACAGACCTGTTTCCAAAGATGTCTGAAAGTCCTGCAATAATTTAATAATTTAATATTCTATATAAATATTATTTAAAGTATAATTCCAGTCAGTTATATTCTATACTTTGTTGAAGAATACTGTGGACGAAAAACTAGCCCGACCAGCATTATTGCAATATAGCTCACTGTTATCAGATTACCATTTGAAACCGTAACAATTGAATTATCACCGTTTCTAACTTGTTTGCAAAACAGTAACCCATATTGCAATACTCCTCGTTTGGCAACTGTCGTTCACAATAAATGGCACAAGAGTAACTTGTCATTCTACATGACTGCCATGTTCGTCGTGCAAACCATACAAACTGAGTTTCTATACAAATAATTATAGTCAAACGATTTTGAAAATTTCTTGAGTGTCCTGGAATGGGGTCCAATAATTCCAACAGGTAACCGCATCGATGTGCTTGGGGCATGGGCGCTCCTTAGTTTTTTGTTTTGTTTTTTTAACTGATTTTTTTGTTGTTTTTTTCTTTTAAAGCGAGGCGCTGATTCCACATCACAAACATTGTGTATTGCCATTGTAAAATAAATGAGTCACGCGAGATGCGTCCCGCGGAAAACAGGCCAGCGAACAACTCGACAACTGGAGATTTCCCATTAGTAACGCGCAACTCTCTGGCACTATGTCCACAAAACACGGAGTTTGCATTCTGGCAGGTCGAAAAAACAATACGTCATTGTATTTATTTTTATGAAAGCAATCATTCAAAAAGGTGCTAGGTTTTTGCAGATATATACCTCTTTTTCCCCATGAAATTTGAAATTTATATAGCAATGACCAACTATATGTTGGCAACCAAACTGTATTGCTGAATATATATGCTATAATATAACAGGTAGACTGCAGGTGCCTTCCCTACGAGTGGACCAAATAGTAAATTTACTAAGTAGAACGCTGCGTAGAGAGCTGTAGTAAACTTATTTTCATCACGTGTTGTGGATTAAAACAGTGATGCTAGAACCTTCACCTTAATTTATCTTCGTTTTATGATAGGGATAGTTTTAAACTGGACACAGCACAAAATGACATAGGCCCAGAAATTGGATGCAGTATCTAATCACGAAATCACGAAAAGAATGTCAGACTGTGATAACATACATATATATATATATATATAATCAAAACCGGTCATGCAGTTCAATTGTTCGAATCAAGCTGATGTATACGAGTATGCGCCAATGTTTTGACAAATAATTTTGCAATCGAGCTGATGATTTTTGGCCATTTAAGCAAAATGCTAATTTCTGACCCAAAATTGCCCCCACGGTCGAGCTTTTGGAGTTCAGTTGTCAGCTTGCTGTGGAACACAATCACCCACTCAAAATCCAGACGAATACCCCCTACGGAATGTATACATGTTGTGTGCCTATAGGTGGTTTGTGGCTTTGTACAACCTACATGCCTCACTGATCAAGGCCCCTAGCTAAACCCTGTTAATAACAGGGTAATGTCGAGTGGTTGTGATACCAGGTTCGCAATACAATGCATATCTTTGTCTCGATAATGGAATTTATCTGAATAGTTGGACTTTTATCCTTCGAGTTACAGATTGCAAAATGTCAGCTTAATTTATGATTAGTAAGAAAATCTTCTGCTATGCAATTGTGTTCGTAATGCAGCTATAGCGAGCAATTTGACTGGACAATGCGTTGAAGAAAATATCTCTAGTATTGCCAGAGAGGGCGCACTAAAATATAGTTGGGCTATTTAGCATCTACCAAAGTGAAGTGGTGAGACGATGGCCAAATAAACGGACCTTGGCTGGCGAAGCTAATGACGGGTGTGCTCACTAGGCTCTGTGAAAATCATTATATATAATTATTTTCGTCATGGAAGAGAGGGAGAATGCAGTCAAAGTACTTCATGGAAATATGCGTTCTAAGAAACTAGTTATCATTCTCACGTTCACTCTTATAGTAGTTCTAACCGCCGCCACTATAGTAATCGCTTTATTTGTTACTGGTAATTTGCCACTTAGCCGCTCAGGTAAGCAAAGCTCACACCAGCACTTGGACAGCGGGAAAATAAGTGATTCATAATTATTTGTTTTCATTACAGTTCAATTAGTTCACATTCATACACATTGTACGTACACAACATTGGTGTCATTATATCAACCACAGTGAGTACCTCGTAGTTATTCAAGTTCACATAGTTTTCCCTAAATTCCACTCACATTATTCTAATCTTTTCCCCTCAAATGTTTCGCAGTATAAATGAATTTTTTGATTAGTTTTTCCATGATCAAAGTTAGTTTTGAGTGCAACATCTTTTCCAGGTTTGTTATCGGGTACAAGTAGGAAGACATTGAGTTCGAACACTGCCTACCAGGTCCACCTATTAATGGTATTTATGACTGCATTACCAAATGAATAAAGACGTGAAGGTTAAATACGAGATAATACATGCTTGTGTCTGGTGTAGCGTGTACATCAGAGTTCATTTTTTTCTGATTATCGCCTTAAACTATGTCTCCGTACAAAGATTTTCAACTGAACTACTGAAAAAAGAAATGAGACTGACTATGCTAAGTTACTATAGACCTTTTCTGAAATGTACAACACTTATACTTCATGTTTTATTGTGGTGCATACGTTGGTTGCCAGAGAAAGTAAAATATATCCAGGTCAGTAGTGCCGTTTATCGGCCATGCTCGTCTATGTGGGGGGGGGGGTTATTATTCTAATACTCACACGCATATATAACAATCACGTGACATAAGTTTTGCCATGTCATAAAAGAAATCTGTCTTCATTGTCATGTGTTGACATATTTATTGAAGGGTTTGAAATATATAAGGAGATCGGCTTCAGTGTTGAGAATACCTACTTCGCAATGTGTTCTTTTGTCTCTAAAAACTATGCCTGACCTGAATGCGTGTATGAACATGTTATAGTACAGAGTCCACGTATTTAACAATGTGAGGGGTATGATTTATGTCAAATTATTATTTCCATATTTGTAACAGTTAACTGTAATGATTACTGGTCTACTTCGTGAAAGCACGTGGGAGTTACGGGTGCTCCTATGAGACGCATCTTTTATTTTTTTTCACTGTAAATTTTCTTTTTTGCGTTTTTGCTTTTTTTCCAAATGAAACATTAATTCCGCACCACAAACAATGTATATCGCCATTGTTTAAATCTCATCTCAATGAAACGCATTAAATACATCCATGAGACATTTACCGAAAAGAACTTTTGTTATATAATCCGATTAAATATCTGCCTTTATTTTGTTAAACTTACGATTATTGATCTACTAGTATTTTAATCATGGTATGATATGCACACAACAATTTTGATATCTAGAATCACTACATTACTGGTGATCGGTTGGTTCAAGTACTAAAATGTACTATTCTACTTCGTAATTCGATTTCCTTTACGTTTGGTTGCCTGTACAAATATTCCTGAGCTTATCCTTGACCTACAATAACATCGTTTATAGTATTTAGAGAATAAGTACTATATAATGGTATAAATCAATCCATTGTACTTATTAACCGTGTCGCATAAAGTATTTATATACTTCTTCTTATTGTGTGGCGATAAATGACTAGTATTTTTTTTATTGTTTGATTGACTTTTATCTGGGCCATCCTGAAGCAACACAAGATGGTCACTGCTTGGTGTGAAGCTGGAAACCCCAATTGACTATAAGATTTGCATATTGAAACAACTTGTTGAAGGTGAAAATTATTGATACCCATTGCGCAAACCTACTGTTACGGACTGTATTTACTGACGCGTACTCAAAGGACTTCAGAAAGGGCGCCACCACACGTTCAAGTACTGTCTATCCCAGCGCCATGTACCCCTTATATATATTTTTGAGTGCAAAGGTTTGAAATATATAAGGACCCGGCGTCAGTGTTGAAAATAGCTGCCTCGTAATGTGTTCTTTTGTCTATAAAAACTATGCCTGACCTGAATGCGTGTATGAACATGTTATATATTTGTAACAGTTAACTGTGTTGATTACTACTCTACTTCGTAAATATATGTGGGGAGCTCTAGGTGATCCTAGTAGACGCCTTTTTTTAACTTTTTCACTGAAATTTCCATTTTTGCTTTTTTGCTTTTTCTTTTTAAATGAAGCATTAATTGCACAGCATAAACAATGTGTATCGCCATTAAATGTGAATGGGCGCATGAAATACATCTGCGTGACAAACGCGAGAACTGGAAATTTACCAGTGATAACGCGCTGGTGGTACACACAGCACGAAGCATGTATTATGACAGATCGGAAAACAAACACGTTCTTGTAGTTTTATTAAAAATAATCATTTCAAAAAAAGTACCACGCTAGTCTATACCCCCTTTTCTATCCACGTAATTCGAAATGTGTAATTCGAACTAGACGTTGGCAACCAAAATGTAATGTTGAAATTATAGGCTTTATATAAAAACAGTATAAATTGCATAATCATAACAATGAATTACTGGTGTCTTACCTGGGAGAGAATCAAATAGTAATTTGCCTACGTAAGTATGTCGTTATATATAAAATCATGGCTAATCATAGAGTTTAACTAGACAGTGCATATTGTATTTAAATTATTATAATCTAATCAGGCTATATTCAATCAACTAAAAAAAATATAAACCAACTGTGATAATATGCAATGGAGCCAACAAACCAGGTATGTAAAAATTGCAGCACGCCTGGACTGAGTCGTGAGATTGTCACGTGTTAAGATTTCAGTTAGTCTATCATGAGTGTTGACGCCTTTTAAGCAAGCAGGCCACCGTTCCTTGTCCAATCATATACAGTCCTTCAAATGTGAATCACAGTTTGTTTTTATGGTTCTTGTGGTAACTATAAAACATATGAATGCAATCAAGATAGAGTACTGCACTTGTGTGGTCACATCGACTGGGTAAGTAAGCATGGCGGAACACCAAGGAAGCAACTTGAGTGCCAGTAATTCTGGTAGCCAGAAAGACGCGTCAACTGCGTCATACGACAACTTAGCCATAGAAGAAGGAGACAAGGTACTCTATGCGAATATTAGCTCGTCGAAGAACACAAGTGCTGAGAAAAGTACAAATTCGAAACCGCTGATTATTTTCCTCGTGTTAACCCTGTTTGTTGTTCTCGCCGTCGCCATCACGGTGATTGCGCTATACGCTACCGGCAACTTACCGCTTAGTAGCTCAGGTTAGTAAGACAATATTAGTGTTTGTTTCGGGCCGAATAAACATACATGTTTCACGTTGACATTTACTGAAAAGAACTTTTGTTATATAATTCGATAGCATATCTTCATCTATTAGAAAGATATGACATACATGGGTGTATTTATAATGCGTCACCCACTTCTATTTCTAACAAAACGCACCCCGACATGGT